TTATCTTTGTAACTCGTGAAAGTGGAAATTCATGAGGAGGGTCAATGCCAGGCAATGTCACTAACAGGAGACACTTGGCAGGCAGTAGTGAAGACCGGATTTCATTGTCTCTCCTCAGTTCTCTGTTATCCACAACTGCCAATTAAAGTTCTTTGAGGCTCAAGTTTTAATTATCACAGAATTCACGTCATTTACTTCTTCAGATTTCTCTTGAAGTGAATCTTAAGTTGAAAATCATCTGTGATATACGATTTTCTTTGTGCAGTGTCCTAACACTGCTCATCATATCTACCCCTCAAAAACTTGTCTCTTGAAGACAGCCAGGATCGTCCACCCAACTCTGCACCCGTAGAGACTTAATCAATCCTTTACTGTTACCCATAATAATCCATCCTTCTCTGTTACCCATAATATGTCTCTTCTTCTACTGATTATTCTATATTTTAAGTTTCTAATAATGTGCCTCTCTCCCCAGTTGTTAATTTTGAGAAGAAAAAGTCCACGCTTTACTCAACTTTGCTGCATAAATACCTAGCACAGTGCTTGGTACATGGTAAATAATGAATGTTTGCATTTTAAATATATATATCAGCTTTATTGACGTAGATGTACAGTTTGATGATTTTAGTAACTGTATCCTTCTTCAACCATCACCACAATCCAGTTTTAGAACACTTTCATCACCCTAAAATTTCTTTCATGCTCATTTCCAGGCAATCCTGCCCCAGGCAACCTCTGATCTACTTTTTGACTCTATAGTTTTGTCTTTTTCAGAAATGTCATATACATTAAACCATTCAGTATTTTGTTTCTGACTTCTTTAGGGGTACATCTATGTTGTTGCATATATCAGTAGTTTGTCTGTTTTTACTACTGAGTAAGTATCCATTGTGCATATACTACGTATGAAGATACTATGCTTTGTTTGTCCATTCACAAGTTGGTGGATGTATTTGCATTGTTTCCAGTTTGGGAATATTGTGTATGATGCTTGTACATGTGCAAGGATGTGTACAAACATACACGAACAAGTCTTTATGTGGATATATGTGTTCACTTCTCTCGGGTAGATACACAGGAATGGAATTACAGGGTTGTATGCTAAAGGTATGCTAATCTTTGAAGAAAATGCCCAAGTGTTTTCCAACAGGCCATACCACTTTACATTTCCATCAATGATAAAGGAGGGTTTCAGTTTCTGACATCCTTCCCCAACACTTGGTATTTCCAGCTTTTTTATTATGGTCATTCTAGTGATTGTGTAGTGCTATCCCATTATGCTTTAAATTTGCAATTACCCAATGAATAATGATATTGTTAATACCAGCCTTGTATACATTGTCTATAATGAGGGGTTCAATCACATCTTTTGCACATTTTTAAAACTTGGGTTGTTTTTCTTATTCTTGACTTGTAAAAATTCACATATACTAGATACAAGTCCTTTATCAGATACATGATTTACAAATATTTTTCCCAGTCTATAGCGTGTCTTTCCACCCTCTTAATAGTAACTTTTGAAGAGCAAAACATTTTAACTTTAATAAAGTGCAATTTATTAAGTTTTTTTAATAGTTTGTGCTTTTGGGGTGCTAGCTGAGACAGCTTTGATGACTCAAAGAAGACAAAAGACAAAGATTTTCTAGTGGATTGCATTCTATAAGTTTTATATTTCAGTTCTTACATTTCGGTTTATGATGCATTTTAAATTAAATTTTGTGTATAGTGTTAAGAAAGATCTAAATTCGTATTTTGCTACGTGGCTATCCAATTGTTTCAGTACTTTTAGCTGGACAGACTACCCTTTTCCCCTTTGAACTGCCTCGGCATCTTTGTCAAAAATCAATTGGCCACGAATGTTTGAATGTATTTCTGCTCTCTATTCTGTGTCATTGATTTATATGTCTATACCACGCCAGTATCATACTTTCATGATTACTGTAGCTTTGTAGTCTTAAAATCATGTAAAGTTTTGAAATCATGTAGTAAATCCTCCAACTTTATTCTTCTCTAGTAAAATTTCTTTGGCTATTTTAGTTCCTTTGCATTTCCACACAAATTTCAAGATTATCTTCTCAATATTAACAAAAAAGCTTGGTGAGATTTTCACAGGAATTGTATTGAATCTATAAAAAAACTGGGGGAAAATGGCCATCTTTTTTTTTTTATTTATTCATATTTTTTTTGGGAGGAAGATTAGCCCTGAGCTAACATGCTGCCAATCCTCCTCTTTTTGCTGAGGAAGACTGGCCCTGAGCTAACATCCATGCCCATCTTCCTCTCCTTTATATGTGGGATGCCTATCACAGCATGGCTTGCCAAGCAGTGCTGTGTCCACACCTGGGATCCGAACCAGCGAACCCCGGGCCACCAAAATAGAACATGCGAACTTAACTGCTACACCACCGGGCCAGCCCCCAATATGGCCATCTTTAAAACATTGAGTCTTCCAATCCACGAACTTGGTATATTTCTCTATTTATTTATGTCTCCTTTAATTCCTCTCAACAATGTTTTGCAGTTTTCACTGTATAGCTAATGCACTTTTTTCTGTTTATTTCTAATTGATTAACCTTTTAGATACTATCATAAATAGATTTTTTCTTTATTTTGTTTCTGGATTTTTCATTGCTAGTATACAGAAAGAAAATCAATTTTATATTGACCATGCATCTTGTTAACTTGCTAAATTTGCTTATTAGTTTCAGTAGTTTATTTTGTAGATTTCTTAGAATTTTTTACTCAAAACACTGTATCACCTGGGAATAAAGATAGTTCTGCTCTTTTCCATTAGAAAAGAGTTCTGCTTCTCTTTAATATTTTCTTGTCTTATTGGACTAGCTATAACATCGAGTAAAATATTGAAGAGAAATGGTGAGAGCAAACATACTCATCTTGTTCCTGATCTTAATAAAAAAGCATTGTCTTTCACCACTAAGCATTATGCTAACTATAAGAGTTTTTTAGATGCCCAATCTCAGGTTGAAGAATTCCTTGTCTATTCCTAGTTTGTTGTGAGATTTTATTTTGAATGCAGATGCTTAATTTTGTCAAATACTTTTTCTGCATCTTTTGAGGTGATGTAGTTTTTGCCATTTATTTACAAAGATTATAATAGTATTTGATTTTTTATTTTAAATCAATCTTACATTCATGAGATAAACCTCACTTTGTCCCTGAGCTAACATCCGTGCCCATCTTCCTCTATGTTATATGTGGGACACCACCACAGCATGGCTTAATGAGCGGTGTGTAGGTCCACACCCAGGCTCTGAACCCAAGAACTCTGGACTGCTGAAGCAGAGTGTGCGAACCCAATCACTATGCCACTGGGACAGCCCCTGACTCTTTTAATACTCATTAAGCCTGGGGATGAAGCTATTTTGTACACAGTAAATTCATATATCCAGAATAATAAAGGATTTAGAAGAGATAGGTACCACCATAATTTTGATATTATGATTTATAAGAAGAAATATATATTATTTCTTCATTCCCAGTCCCTGACACTGGGCTCCTAAAACCTTGTAAATTCCTAAGGGATAAGAGCACTAGGAGAATCTTTAGTTCTAATGAGTGACTCTGGGTGAGCTCCAGGCTGGCTCCTGGATGGGGGCTATCACCACTTCTCTAGAGAAGGGAGAGGGGCCTGAAATGGAGTTAATAATTAATCACGCTTATGTGGGGAAGGCTCCATAAAAATCCAACTAGTTTAGGATTCAGAGAACTTCCAAGTGAACACATCTACATAGCAGGAGGGTGGTGCTCGCCAGCTCTGCAAGGACATACTCTTGTACTGGGACCCTCCCAGACCTCGCCCTATGTATCCCTTCATCTGGTCGTTCATCTGTATCCTTCCCCATATCCTTTAATAAACTGGTAAACATAAGTCAGTGTTTCCCTGAGTTCTATGAGCTGTTCTAGCTAATAATCAAGTCTAAGGGGGAGAAAGTCATGGGAACCTCCGACTTATAGCCAAGTTGGACAGAAGTTGTGGGTATCTTGGGCACCTACTACCTGTGATTGGCATCTGAAGTGGAGGGCAGTCTCATGGGACTGAGCCCTTTACCCCTGGTACCTGCTACTATCTCCAAGTAGGTAATGTGAGAATTGAGTTAAAGTATAGGACGCTCAGTTGATGCTGCAGAATTGCTTGGTGAAGGAAAACAGCCCCACACATTTGGTCACCAGAAGTGTCAGAATTGAAGCGCTCCATGTGAAAGCAAAGGAGAAAGACACAGGAGGAAAACTGTCGGTTTCTCCAATACAGAATTTTTCTCCTTTGCCTATATAAATTTGAAACAAAGGTCAGTTTTTATTTTGTGTTTGGACAACTTGGCTCTTCCACCTCTTCCTAACTCCCAGTAAGCAACAGCTCATCTACTTTATCCTGACAGGAGGAGTCTGTCCTTCTTTACCCCTCCTTAACTTGCTATTTGGTTCAGGGAGGGAATTATTGAGCTCTAACCACTGGAACCCACAGAAAATAGAATTAGGCTTAGTGGATTACTAGGCTCAGTGGATTACTGCTCTGCTTCTTATAGCACACTCACACAGAGGACGTGGATGGTCTAATGCCTGAAATGTGTTCATCCCTCCATATTTATTTAAGATCTTTTTGTATTCAGTATAAGTTTGTTCTTCCCATAAACACATAACTGAGACAGCATTTTTACTATCTTAACTTTACAGATGACAGAATGGCAGTTCAGAGAGGTGACATTAGTGACTCATAGTCACACAGTTAATAATTACAAAGCTAAGCATTAAAATGAGGTGTCCTGTCTCCAATTCTCATGCCCTTTGCAGAACATCATTTCATATAGAAAACAAATTCAGAGCAACCAGGTAGGAAGCCATTATTCATCAAAAATGTGGAGAGGTTACACAGGCCTCCAACCTGCTTGTATACAATCCTATAGTTAAAATAATCAAAATGCTTATTTGGGAAGAAAATGGATGGGACAAAATATCTGGCGTCATTCTCCCCAGTGACTTACCCTGTAACTGACATCCTCTACAAGAGTAGATGTGCCCACAGTGGACTCTGCTTGCCACAAGGTCTCCTTGATGCTACAACCATAAAGAAACACATTCTTCTTTTGGGAGTGGCCGTGGAAATCACAGAAGACCTACAATGGCCGAACAAAGTAGAAAGTAAATCCAGGTCAGATTTATTGGTTTCTTAAACGTTTAAAAAGTCAACTGTTTCAGGCAGATACTGTTTGCTGAACAGAACCAGCCATGTGGGGATCATTGGTAACCTTGCAAAGAGTTGTATTGGTGGAATTATCAGGGAAAAACATAGATTGGAAGGGGTTTAGGATTGAATGAGATGTGAAGAAATAGGAGTTACGCACGGCCCTTTTGAGAAATTTGCTTGTGACTAGGGTGAAGACAGGGTCAAAACTAGAAGAGGAAATAGGGAACAAAGCCTTTTTAAAAACATACAGAGTTTGAAATAATTTTAAAAGTCAATAGGAAATATCCATTTAAAAGGAATAGGTTCAATATAAAAAAGAGAAGTTAACAAATCGCTATAATTTTTTCTCTAGGGTCTGAAGTGGTAAAAAATGACCACCAAACTCAATGGCTGAGCAAACAGGGTTTATTTTCCAGCATGTCCTCTTCATTCTGGGATCCAGGCGAAAGAAGAAGCTCCAGTTTGCAATTAGAAACTATTGTGGCAGAGGGGAAAAATGTCAAAGGCAGAATCACGCTATGGCTCTAAAAGCTTCATGGAGCATGGTGAACATCAAGTCTGTTCTCATTCCAAGTTACATGGCCAATCTTATCATCAATGGCTTGAGGAAGTATATTCCCCCTACAAGGAGGCTCTTCAAGTCACATGACAAAGGGCAGTGATGTGAAATCCTATTACAAGGAGAGATGCTAAGAATGGAGAAAAAATAAGAAAATCTAAAAAAAGACCTCAAATTCTCCACATCCCTATATGCTTGCCCCTTTGCAATAGACTATGCTCCACCTCCATCAAGAGGTGGAGTATATTTCCTCACCCCTTGAATCTGGACTTAGCCATGTGAAATCTTTTGGCCAATAAGTATTAGCAAATATGATGCAAACTGAAGCCCATAAAGGACTTGCACGTTGGGGCTGGCTGTTCAGCTGCTCCTGGGAGCCCTGCAATAATTGTCCTGTGAAGGAACATAGGCTAGCCTGCTGGATGAGGAGACATGCTATAAAGTCATCTTGCAATGACCTACCTGATACCAAGCCAACCACTAGACCTGTGCATGAATCCATCTAGGACCATCCAGCCCTGGCCAAGCTGGCTCAGACCAGAAGAATCACTCAGTTTACGTGGATGATTTTCATGCAGCATCATTAAACATATTGCATAGGTATTGTTTAAGCCACTAAGTTTTGGGGTGGTTTGTTATCCAGTAAAAGCCAAGCACTAAAATAATCTGTCCTTTTAGTCTAAATATTTGCTTCCCTCCCTTCAACATACAAAATATACTCCTCTCCTGCCAAGAAAAACGTCTGAACATCACAGCCTATCACAGTCTCCAATTCTCAGTCTTCAAACTCTCAGTCCAAGGTCCCATGATAGTTTCTAGACCCCATATGTGCCTCTTCCTAATCTAGAAAGAAAAAAGGCAAGTCATCTGCCTTCCACCCAGCTACATACAATGGTTGAATGAGGAAACATTAACCCCAATAAACACTCATGTTTGAAAGAGAATGAGTGGGATGAGCACAGCAGTCACTTGACCATATCAATTCTGAAATGATAATGGGTTCAGGGCTGGTTGCTCGATTAGGCCCTAGTTCTGCTCCCTGTCAATAGCTCTCTAGTCTTCTTCTTCTCTACAGATCTTTCCTCTGCACTTGGGAGGTGCTCGTTTTTCCATTATCCTCCTTGGCCACATATGAAAAGGGCATTGGAGAATACGGCCTCCTCTGAGGCCAAGCATCTATCTTTTCTGATTCCTGATGTAGATGTTTGGGGGTACAAAGATCATTTTTGTCTCAAAAAGTCACTGTCTCTTTGAATCAAAGCACTGGAAATGAAATACCTGAAGGTAAAATCATTTTTTTTTCTTTTTGCTTGATTTTAATGTATCTAAAACGTCACTGAAGGTCTAAAGCTAAAGAGTCACAATGTAGTATACGTTTATAGTATGTGTAAAAGCAAATATATCAGAATAATAGAATGAAATTTGGAGAAAGAAATTGTGAATACACGGTTGTAAGGTCATTATACTATAAATGAAGCGGTATAATATTATCTGAAGGTATATTCTGATTAATTAAAGATGGATATTGTGAGAATAGCATAAACACTAAAAATATTGTAAGGAGTATAAGTAGTATTCAATTATAGAGATAAATTGATCATAAAAATCCTCAATTAACACAAGAAAAATCACAAAAGATAGAAAAGTCTAAGAACAGGTGATACAAATAGAAAACAGCTATCAAGATAGTAAATTTCTATTCCAACATATCAATAATCTCATTAAACGTAAATGGTCAAAACACACTAATTAAAAGATAAAGACTGTCAGATTGGTTAATAAGCAAGATCAAATATATTTTCTTCAAAAGAAATTCATTTTAAACATAAAGACATAGATAAGTTAAAAGTAAAATATGTAGGGCCAGCCCAGGTGGCCTGGTGGTTAAGATTGGAGTGCTTTGCTTTGGTGGCCTGGGTTCAGCTCCCAGGAGCAGACCTACACCACTCATCTGCCAGTGGCCATGCTTTGGTGGTAGCTTACATACAAAAAGAGGAAGAGTGGAGATTGGCAGTGGATGTTAGCTGAGGGTGAATCTTCCTCAGCAAAAAATAAATACATAAATTTTTTAAAGTAAAAGATGTAAAAAGATATATTCTGTAAGCATAAACAAAAGAAAACCCGAGGGGCCAGCCCAGTGGCACAGTGGTTAAGTTCACACATTCCGCTTCTGCGGCCCAGGGTTCGCAAGTTCAAATCCTGGGTGCAGACAGAGTACTGCTTGGCAAGCCATGCTGTGGTAGGTGTCCCACATATAAATTAGAGGAAGATGGGAATGGATGTTAGCACAGGGCCAGTCTTCCTCGGCAAAAAGAGGATTGGCAGCAGATGTTAGCTCAGGTCTAATCTTCTTCAAAAAAAAGAAAACTGGAATTAGCCATATTATTTATCAGATAAAACAGACATCATAACAAGAAGTATTATCTGAGGCAAAGAGGGATGCATTGTTTCATGTGCCCATGTTGTCTTTGGTGGTTAAGTGCTACTGGGCCTCTGCTACTTTGGGATTCCATAATCTCCACCAAAATGAGGCACCCCATCTCAACAGTGGCATCCTCTACAGGGCTGGCCTTCAAAGAAGAGCCACTACAGAGCTTTCCAAGGATTCAGATGCTCCCCTCACTCACGTATTCAGGGTGGGGAAAATCTAAAATGGAACAGAAAGTGTAACAAATGAACCTATTGCATTACAAATGAATAAAATTATCAGACTTAAAGGGGTGGGGAAAACAAGAACTAACCTAAGTTACTATAGAAAAATACTATTTTCCAAGTAGAATTGTAAGAATAAAAACAAAAAACTATACACAAAAACTGTACTCTTGTTAATAAATTTATTTATTACAGGGTTATGGGTTAGTGTAGTTGAAACTACTTTATATGTACACCAGGGATGAACAAATAAATTGATATATTGCATATTATGAGAGCCAGTTTTCTCATTGTTGGAGAAAGAAGTTATAAGCAATGAAATTATGAAGGCTAGAATAAACTCCTCTGGCAGCAATTTGAAATTAGAGGTATTACTATGAACTCTTGGTTTTTTCAATATATTTTCAGATAGATAGATACAGAAATAAAAATGAGTGTGTATATATTAGTTAGTACAGATGCATATATTTTCAAGCTCTGTTCTTTGAGAGAGCCTAGAAATGAAATCACCTCAGTAGCAATGAGCACACTTGATGCCCAGATCTTGGCTTCTAATACCATTCTCCAATAAAACGAACCAGGCTTTTTTTGCACAAGTAGTTGATTTCAGGGCTGAGACAGAGAAAATACAACATAAGAATTGCACAAAAGAAATATTTCAAAAGGAAGGGTCATGTTGAAAGGGCACAGGAGCCAACCTGAAAAAGCTTCAAATGATCAAAGTTGGAATCATTTGATCAATAGAGTAGAATACGATAGGATAGGATTACAGTCCACAGAATAAAATTAGTGTCCATGAGTCCATACCCATATAAAAAACTCATTGAATACATGCATATGTACATACATACATACATACATACATACATACAAACATACAGGAGAAGGGACAGCTCTTCCTTACAGATGAATTCCAATTAACAAATATAGAATGAATGAAGTGAATAGAATACCACCATAAGAACCCCCCTATAATAATCATTGCAGGCAAGATCCACTGACGGATGCTAAAATTAGTGACAAAGATTTGAGGAGAAAAATGATTATTTGCATAGTGTCAGAGTATCTCCAGGAAGATGCAATTAATTGCAAAGAGAAAAATAGTAACTTTACAATGGAGAAACCTGACAGAAACCACCTTATCCAAGTGATCAAGGCTAATGTCACCAATATTGACACTAAAGTCATATGGAAGAAAAGTACAAGAATGACCAATACTCTTTACAACTGTCAAGGTCAAAGAGACAAGGAAAGTCTGGTAGACTCACAGATGAGAGGAAACTAAGAAAACATGAAATATAAATACAATAGCATTTAATCCTGGATTAGATCTTGAAATAACTAAAGAACATTGATGTGAAAACTAATGAAATCCATATAAAGTCTGTAGTTTTATTAACAGTACTGTTCCAAAATTAATTTTCAGTTTTTGAGTTTTTTTTAAAGATTGGCACCTGAGCTAACAACTGTTGCCAATCGTTTGTTTTCTTTTTTTTTTTTTTCTGCTTTATCTCCCCAAACCCCCCTGTACATAGTTATATATCTTAGTTGCAGGTCCTTCTAGTTGTTGGATGTGGGACGCCACCTCAACGTGGCCTGACAAGTGGTGCCATGTCCGTGCCAGGATACTAACCCTGGGCCGCCGCAGCGGAGTGTGCAAACTTAACCACTTGGCCACAGAGCCGGCCCCCAATTTTCAGTTTTGATAATTGTGCCAT